GGAAGGAAGAAGGAAGGAGAAGGAAGAAGGAAGGAAAAGGAAGGAGATTATAATATGAGGGAGGGAGGGAGGGTCTGAGGGAAGTCCTGACTTAGCACTTGGCCACCACAGGTGCGCCCAATGCAAGTGATGTTGAGTTGGCCATGCCTACCCTGGCCATACCAACCCCAGCCTTCCAAAGTCAAACACAACCCTTATGCAGCCCTCTATGAAATTGAGTTTGACACTCCTGCTATAAGTTATGAAGTTTCTAATGTTTATAGAAACTGCTGACTTGGAAGATGTATAGACATTTTCTTCCTTTTTTACATATAGACACTTTCCTATTACTCTCATTTCCTGTCATTAACAATTGCTGAATTATACTCTTTGATCTTCACAGATCAACTGATCAGATTATCAACTCACTTGCAAGAAATATATTATGTGATTTCTTGTCACAGAGAGTAATAGAAAATCAGTGGTCCATTTTCTGTTGGCATCTTAGTGAAAGTGAATAAAATGGCAGTGCTTTTTGCAATTCAGTGGATTAAATTTTTTGTGACAATCTGTTTTCATGTCCCACTTTGCACACACTATCATAGCCTTTCTTCTCACCTTTTTTAATAGCATTTCAAGATTTCTTTATCATCAGTCCAAGTCAATGTAGAGTAAAAGTGGACAAAAAAAAAGAAGTATTGTGTTTGATATTTTGATATTTACTATAGAACGCATTTTAAAAATCTGAAGGCTATATTTACAAAGATTGAAAATAAGAAAATTCACAGTGCTAAAAACAAACAGATTAAGTGCAACTTAAATGCAACTGCTACAATCTTTCTATCAACTACTTTAAGAGCCATTGTGGCTGAAAAATGTACCTCATATAATCACATAGAAAATATGTGATTAGCTTCCAGAACTTGTTACAAAAAGTGCTAGTGATAGTTCATTAGGCCAAATGTATGAGTAGATGAAGAACAACAAAGTATGAGTAGATGAAGAGCTCATTTCTGAATGAAAAAGAAATGTGAATGCAATAATATCTCTCCTGGCACCATCTCACCAACCAAGAGCAAGAGAAAACAGAAGCTACTCAGTGCATTGCATTTGAAGCAGTGGTGAGATTCAAAAAATTTTACTACTGGTTCTGTGGGCATGGCTTGGTGGGCATGGCAGGGGAAGGATACTGTAAAATCTCCAGTCAGAAGTGGTATTTGCCGGTTCTCTGAATTATTCAAAATTTCCGCTACCGGTTCTCTAGAAGTAAGGAAGTAAGGAAAATATAACTACCTTTCTGAAACTGCCATCAAGTTTGCTAATCAGAATTTGAGATTAGCTTCATCCTAAGTTTTTGTGCTGTATAAAACTTTTATAAAACTCTCAGCTGATCTACTTGTATATTAAAATTTCCAATGGAAATTTATTTTCCATATCTTACAATGATTGAATTATTGCTTATGAATATGTAGACATATTCCATATGAATATGTAGACATATTCACATCATTAAATACCAATTTCTGCAAAGTCTGAATTGATATATCTGAAATATCTGACTTTCAGCTGCTTTTTCTCTCTCCACCTCTTAGGGCAAATGGCTCTCTTTCAATAATGCAATGTTGTGTAGGTAGTACAGCTGCAAATTTTTTCAAAACTCTTGACATATTTGGAACATCCGTTTTCTATCCCTTGCTTTGTGCCCATTTTGAATTGTGTATTCTCCCCCACCCCCAAAAATTCAGTCTTTCTTTATAAGCATTTAGTTATCCATTGGAAAAATTTCATGTAGCAAAACTAAGTGGAAAACCTTTGGATGCAATTGATAAGCACGCAATACCAATTGTCCTTACTATTATTCAATGCACTCAACATATCTTACAAAATGACACCTTCAGGATATTTGCTTTAAAGTCCTAACCATTTTAGGCTTTTCAAAGTATTTATTAATCACTTTAAAACTCAATTTAACCCTGGCAACCATTTTCAGAGCAGATTAATGATATTTTTATTTTTATGAATGTGAACATATGATTGATTCACAAAAAAGTAAAAGCTCTGGGGTAAATTAACCCAATGATTGTACAGTTTGAAACAAAAAACATGATTAGTTTGCTTATTCAACTAGCTGTCAGACTTCCCTTTGTATAATCCATACTGGAAATAGCTAGTCCAACATGTAAGAGTACTGATTAATAGTATTAATTAGACAGTAGGCTAAAATTTCATCACAAGGATTCCAGAGTACCCTATGAAAAGTAGAACACTCTGTATCTGGTTATTTTCTTGGTAACTGTTAAAATGTTAAATTAGTATAAAAAGTAACCTGCGTATTGGCTCAGCCTGAGCAATTATTGGCTTAAGATGCTCTATGCAAGATTTAAACATGCAAGTATATTTATTTACCACACTGAAAACATTTGAGATATTCAGCTAGTGAGGACAATATAGCAAAACCATGGTTAGTCAAAAGGTTGGTGGTGTGGCACCCCAGAGAGTGTATCAAATGCTCCATTTCCATTTACAAAAGTAAATAAAAAATTTAGAATGATAAATGACAGTTGTAGAAAATTGAGGTAGTAACACTCCTACAAAAGGAATCAATTTAAAAATGTTTACCTAGATACATGTAAGAATCTTCTCCATCAACAATTGGTTTCACCCAGGTTGACCGAGGAGCAGCAGCTGTTTTCAATATGAGACCAACAGGGGGATATAACATAAATGCAATTTCGATTACTTGAGTCTTAGTCAGGCTTATGTTTTTTGAAACAGAATCTGAAAAAAACACAGATTATTTTTTATGATCAATAACTACGTATTTCAATGGCATATTATTTTATTTATTTATGAAATTAATTGCCACAAGATGTGGAACTAGTTAAAAGAGAAATAAGATGGAGAATAAGCACGTTACTGTCATCTCACATAGCTACAGCATATAGTGCACAATTTTCCAATTCATTGGTGTGACAGCATTAAACTGATACTAGAAAATAAGAGAACAAGTTGTTGCCAGGTTTTCATATGCAGAACTGAATATACAGTATATATTTATTACATTAGTCAGGGCATCCATTCAGATTAAAAGGAAGTCAGATGAGGAAGAGAAATACACGATTGCTAGCCATCTTGCAGTTTATCATATAACATTTACAACCATCATGTTTCTTCTAATATTTGCCCCTCAGCAATTTCCAAACACACCTCTGTTATGGTGCATGGCACACCAAATAATATTGTTCCAACTTCTGAGCTAAATTATGGTAAACTGGGTGGGAACATTTTGTAACTGTAATTTCTTTACCTTTACATTTCTTTACCAGAATTTGGTTCTGAAAATATTATTCTGTAGACACTTGTTTACCATAGTCAGGGATATTAGAAGGTCATAAGACAATCATGATAATATGAAATTTCCAAGATGAGATTTACTACCTCTGATATTCCTTGTAATAAGCATGCAATAATTTGATGAATGAAATTAATAAAATCTTTATCCACTATGATACACACACACACACACAACTGAGGTGTTTAATATTTTTCTTACCGTAATAAATACAAATCTTTCTGCTATATAAAGAAAAGATAACATATGAAGTAACTCATAACAGCTGTATTGTACAAAATACCACATGTAAACTTGCAATATAATATAAAACTATTCAGTTTAGCATATATATTTTAAGAATCCAAGTTTGACAAGCTGTGTACTCTTCTTATACTATAAGAAGAGCTGTGTACTCTTCTTATATTTGTATCTTAAACTATCAAGTAGAAACAGATTGCTATTCTGGTCCAGGTTGAGGTGGGCTAACATAAATGAAGTTACATTTTAGCCAAAAGTTCTGGTCCAAACTAATTAAATGAATGTCAATAACTCCTAAATATATAAACTCTGAAAATATTACTACAGAAACCATTTTAGTGATGGGGTTTATTTTCTCCAGTATGAAATAACTAAATGTCATATATTTTTGTCACATCATTTTTATTGAACAGTCCAGTTCATTAGTAATAAAAATGGTAAATAGAGCCATTCATTCATCAAAGTGAAAACTACTGTATTCATACACTAAGAAAAGAGAAAACAACATACCCGGCCTTTATTCCTAAATTAATGAAGCATCTGTTGTTTAATTATAATGTCTTTTTACATAGAAATATATCTATAAGCACATTAATGAAGATTCATACAGTCAAGACTAACAGCTGAAAGGTGAAATTGTTTTTAAAAAGTCATTTCAAGGCATGTCAGCAAAGGTTTGTAATTAGGAAAAACAAATAAAAGAAGTTAGAACTGCTAGTTTGAAGAATATAGCACCTTTCTTCTGCCAAAATACAGTCCCGTTATGATTCTCTAACAGAAGGGAAAGGATGGGATTGCAATATGTGAACACGTTATGCAAGAGCTAACAACACTTCCCAGATCCTATTAACTGTTTATGAAGTGCCATTTCACATACTGTAACTTGGACTGAAACTTTGACCAGGAGGATATGATTAGAGATACTGCATTGATGCATATTCATGGATAGCATCAAAATAAAAGGGGGGAAAACTGACAAAAAAAATAGGAGCAGAAAATTAGAAAGCCTTCAAATATGAAGAAGACCATTATTTTTTTTATTAAAAAGTCTGTTTACAATATGCTAAAATATTATGAATATTTATACCATTTTATTCGGTAGGTTTGATATAATGTAAATTTGTAACATTCAAAATGTTTCCGTGTTTAGGCATTCACATGTTAAGAAGCTTGTTTTGGGATTAAGATAAAACTTAGTGCTTTGAGTGGCATCAGTTGCATGCTCCAACTTATTTAATTGGATGTTGTGTTGGGATTTATGGCTGAATTGCTTTTCTTCAACCTTCTTCTAGCCTAACCAGCATAGTGGCAGGAACTAGTTATATCCTTGCTGTTACGGGTGATAGAGTGTTGAGAAAAAACAGCAGTTAAGCACATGGCCATTCAGAAGATTGCTTGTAGTTGCATTCCTGCCAAACTACTTGGCAAGTTGTAGCTTTTTTTTTTTTTTTTTTAAAGTCTTTACTATAGGAAAGCTTCAGGTCATGTTGGTGGGTGGTTGCAATTTCTACTGGGTTTCACAGAAAAATGTTGCTAATGCTGTTGAGCCTGTGTAAAAGCAGAAATTAATACCATGTTAATTTAGTTGTTTTGAGTTTTGTTATATTTTTCTGTGCTTATTACTATGCTGAATTTCTAAACAGCATCGTAAAATGCCAAAACAGAAGATTCTGCATCGCCTCTTGTCCTCCTGTGCTGCTAAATTTTTTTCTTTAACTTCTGCTGGGTGTATGGTTATATGTTTGTTGATGGCTAAGAATGTGGCTATGTATAAGGCTATATGAGACTGTTCTTGCCCTCTTGTGAGCTTTCTGAATATATTTTACCTGCTGGTTGTAGAACAGGTTTTTGCTAATATATTGTAATTATAAAGCAAAAATGTAAGCACCACATTGGGTATAGCATAAACATGTTAATAATTTTTTAACTGCCAAATGTTCTAAAGTAGGTAAATAATGTAGATAATATATTCGTTTCCTTAAAGCCTAAGGGGCTTTATTTAACAAAGTGAAGATTGATTCTCTAGGAAGAAAGGCAAATTGTTAAATTTGTTTTAATTCTATTCTTTCAGAATTTTTTTAAATTATATCACTAGTGGTTTTATGTAAATTGGCTGGCTGACAGCCTATAGCCACATCTATTCTTGTAGTATTTGTATGGGTGGGAGGAGAACAAAAGATTCATATTATGTTGTATTGTTTCTTATAACTAAAATACTTGAAATGTGTTTTGTTTCAACAGCAAATAAAATCCTTAAAACTGTTTCATTGCATCAGGACATAAACCATTCAGAAAGTTTCAATGGCATGTTTTAGTTGAAGTTGTTCTATTCCAATCTCAGCAAAACATGTTTTCCATTTTCATTTATAATCATATTGTAGAAATATTGAAGGAAGTTCTGGTATGATGTTCACTTATACAAAAGAATTCCATTTTCATGCGAGAATTTAATCAATCTAATCAGAAAAGGCACACCTGCTTTAATGGGCACTATAAAAATATTGAGCTCCTTAATAAAAGTAAGGCTAACTTCACTGTTTTCCTAGGGTTTCTTTAACCAATACAATACGCTTGCTGTTATAAAACTCTAATGAATAAATAATTAAAATGGCAAGTTATTGGTTGGTTAAGTAGTTGTGTTTTTTTTTTATTTCATTCAATTGGGTCTGAATTTTGGAGACTGCCTAGACAAATCCCTGCAGTTTTTCTGGTACGTTTTTTCAGAAATGGTGTGCCATTGCTTCCTTCCTAAGGCTCAGACAAAGTGACTGGCCCGAGAAGTCACTTAGCAGGCTTTGTGCCTAAGGCAGAACTAGAACTCAGGCTCTCCCAGTTTCCAGTCTGATGCCTTAACCTCTACACCAAATTGGCTTTCAAGTAGGTGCTAGCAAATGATAAAAAGAGTATATTTTTTCTTGACAGAAAATCATAAAACAAAATTACAATTTGCAAGATTCTACAACTAGCAATGTAATGGACAGCATTTTTTTCAATCATATAGAGATGACTGTCAGTGGCTCTTGATCTCAGGGAAGCTTTCCTTAGCCCATTAAACAACATAACTCTTTAATCATCATTGTGGAGTGAAAGTTTCTTTCTTATTTATATTCAGGCAAAAGGCAAAGAAGTGTGGAGAAGAAGCAAAGAATAATATGGTATAAAGAGGTATGTATGATGCATCATTATTACTATTAATTTATATTGCTAACTGAACCAATTTGTTTAAGTGGTTAAGGCACCAGGCTAGAAAGCAGAAGACTGTGAGTTGAAATCCCGTCTTAGCCATTAAAGCCAGTAAGGTGACTTTGAGCCAAACACTCTCTCTTAGCCCAACCCAGTGGTGGGCTGCTGCCAGTTTGCACCGGTTCTAGCAAATCGGTATGAAAGACAATCAGTTGGCCCCACCCATCTTCACCTGCCCTATCCTGTCTTACATTTCCTTCTTTTGCAGCTCAACTGATTCGCGCGGCAAAGTGGATTACCACGCCTCAGCTGTTCTACTCACTGGGGAAGGCTAGAAGGCGAGCTGTAGAGGTTCAAATTGGTGATTATTCAATGCTCCACGCATGATGTGTGTGCTCACAGGACCGGTTGTTAAACCTGTTGCAGCCTACCACTGGCCCAGCCTACCTCATAGGATTGTTGTTATGGAAAAATAGGAGGAGGAAAGTATGTCAGATGTTTGCTGCCTTGTGTTATTTGTAAAAATAATAAAGGTGGGATACTAATAAATAAATAACAGTATTTAAATGTTCATATTTGTACAATGCGTAAAACAGTATTTCTGGTCTCTATGATCAAACAGAATTTTGCTCCAAGCTATAGTATTTTATTAAAACGTGAGCATAATTTGCAAAAGATTAATAAACAATTTGTCTGCAACAAAAGGTGAATGACATTAAATTGATGGTCTAATTTCTCTGAAAGCTGTGGCTTACATTATTAATTAGACTTCCCATTGTGCAAAAGATTAATAAGAGAAGGAAAGAGATTTAGTCAGAGACAGAAGGCAAATATGAAACCATTTGTAAAATTACAACATAGCATAATAAAGTTATTGAGTACTGTTGAAAATGCTTGAAAATAATTTAATGTACATTTTATGTGAGTTCCCCCCATTAAGAGACATTTAAATATACAGCACTTAATTATTATGGATTTGCATACAGCATCTTATTCTACTGTA